GGCGGCTGCTGTGCAGTGGTCGCTTTAACATCTTCGCGCGGAAGTGGAATGGGAAGCTTCCGATGGGTCTTATTTCTTGGAATCCGGATGCATTCTTTCACCACCTAGAAGACACACGTCGCCAGAAGTGCGAGTTGATGCCACCCTTCCTTGCGCAACGCAATGTGATCGCTATGCAGGAGACGCATGGGTCGTTATTAGAAGCACAGGACTGGCTCCGCCAGTCTGGGGTGAAGGTGCATTGTGAAGGCTCTTTCTTCCCGGATCGAATGACAGGAGGCGTGCTCACCATCTCCCCGCACTCCGAGGAGTGCAACTATGAGGCAACGGAGGTGATGCGTGGCCGAGTCCTGCGGACCAAAGTTTTGATTCCTAGTGATGGCAAGTTTGGCCCTTCTGGCTGCCTCGCGCATTGGAATATCCACAATTTCAACATCTCCAACGCGCAGTTCGAGCAAATCCGCGCGATGCTGGCTGCGGACATTGATGATGCCACTCGTGCCCCCGCGTCGCGCGCCCTTGTGGTCGCCGGCGGTGTCAACCTTTACGCCAGAGACCACTTCCACCATGACTGGGTCTCGGGGGTTCGTTGGCCATGCAGCCCCGGGCCGGCGGCCGGCGCGCCCCGCGACGCCACGAGCGATAGTGGAATGCAATTTTTGGGCGCATGGTCGAGCTCGTGGCGCGGTCGCCGACGCGCGTGCGCCGCGGGCTGAAGACGTTCTCGGCGATCGACCGGGTCTTCACTGCGTGCCCGACGCGGCTCCTCAAGCAGACGCGACAGCAGGCGGAGGTCGTCGAGCCCCCTGAGGAGCTCCACGCCCGCGAGCTAAGCGACCACGGGGTCCTGCTGGTGCGTTTCGGCCACCGCGATGGCGATGGCGACCCCAGCGGGCAGACGCGGATGGACGGAAGCTGCAAGCCGATTCCGCCGCCCCTCTTCTGGACGTCCGGCGCCCGGGAACTGATCTCCGCCTGCGCCGCGGCCGCGGCGCTTGACTCGTTCGCCGCTCACCCGCCGACGATGCTGGATCTGCACACCCGCATCCTGCAGGAGGTCGGCGCCCGCATGCGGGACAGGCGGCTTCAACGGGAACCGAACTCCAAGGCTTCGAGAGCCACGGTGTTCCGATGCATGGCACGCTGCATTTGGCGCCAGGACTGCAACTTCGCGGCGCGGCTCATCCACGTCCACAGCTGGCTCTCCGAGTTCGTCGAGGTCCGCCCCGGGCGAGTGCTGCTGGTGGATGGCGCGGCGTTCCACGCGGCCCACGACCGTGCCCAGCGCGCCGATCTCTTGCGTCAGGAGGCGCGCCGTGGCCAGCTGGCCCCAGGCCGGCCTCCCTCCCCAGCCCAGGCTGGCCCTGCCACGCCGGCGCCGTTACGACAGCAGCTGGCGGGGCAGCGACGCGCCCACGAGCGGCGCATGAAGGTCTGGTCGCCTTTCGGCAAGCGGCGCTACCTCACTGGCGTGGGGGTGGAGGGCCAGGTGGTCAACACCCCCTCGGAGCGGGCAGCGGCGCTCGCGGCGCACTGGGCCCCCGTCTTCTCCAGCGTCACGCCTGTCGACGAGCGGGCCGCCCAGCGGTACTTGGACCGCCTGTCGCCACGTCTCGCGCCCGAGCAGCTGGCTGGCGTCGCGCCCCCGCCCCGGGCAATACTGACGGCGCGCCGTGCGCAGGCTGGGGCACGGAGGAGGGCATCAACGCGCTGGCGCACGCGCTGCGGCGGATGGCGCTTGGGAGGCCCATGAGCGCTCGATTCGCCCGAGCCCCCGCCGTCTTCCCCCCTAAAAGGACAAGGGAGGCTGACAAGGATGGAGTAGTGCGCCCGGCTCGTGACGCCCGTCCTTTGGCCCTGAAGCAGTGTAGCAATAAGGTGCCGGCGAGCGCCGTCCATTTGGTGCTCGCCAAAATCATCGCCAAAGTGATCTCCCCGATCCAGCGCGGCTTGATGCGCGGACGGAATTTCCTGCGCAATGTTTTGGATCTAGATACGTTCTCCCGCATGGCGTCGTTCGGCCCTGATGCCCTGATGGTCCAGCCTTTGCTTTTGAGTTTCGACTTTGCTCAGGCGTTTGCGGCCCTCTCCCAAAGATGGCTCTTTCTGTCGCTCCGGGCCCTTGGGCTCCCGATCGGCGTCCTGAATGTCCTCGCGATGTTTTACTTCGATGTCCAGATGTTCGAGGAGTCGCACGCGGGGCTCACCTTCCTGTTCGTCGTAAACTCGGGCGTGATGAAGGGCTGCCCTCTCGGCGGCGACCTCTACGCGATCGGGGCCAAAGTCTTCCTGATCGACCTCGCCGCGCCCCTCGAGGAGCGCCGTCTGGGCATCGCCAGGGCGCGCGCTGACGACCTTGGCGCCATTGCGCATGGCCCGCCCAGCTGCCGGGTGCTAGCGAGGGCGCTGGGCCTCCGCCGCCGCCTGGCCGGCCTGACGCTGAAGATCTCGAAGTGCAAGCGCGCGCCGTTGGGAGGGCCGCTGGATGACGGCAGGCGCGCTGCCGCGTTGGCATGCCTTGCCGCGGCCGACGCGGCCTGGGCAGCGTTCGACATCGCGGAGCAGTTGCTGCACCTCGGCGTCATTCTCGGTGTCAACGTGAGCCTGGAGACGCAATGGGCGCCGCAGCTGGCGGCGTGGCGCGAGCGCGCCGGGGCAATCTCGAAGACGGGTTCCTGCTTCTCCACGGCGACGGCGCTGTATCACCAGCACGCTATCCCCGTGCTGGGCTACAAGGGCCAGCTCTTCCCGTTGTCGTGGAATCTCACGCGCGACGAAATGCATATCCACAGCCGCCTTTTTCATTGGCCTGCCTGTTCGCTCACCCGAGCGGATTGGCACGTCCTGGAGGACTTTGGCGCGCCCGCCCTGACCTCCGCCAACGTGTGCGTTGCTGCCGTGCGCCTGCGGGCGGTCTTGACCACGCTGGCGGGGTGGGAGGCCAACTTGACGCTGCTGCGCCGCTCGGCGAAAGCACACCTGCCGACCGCCGTTTCTGCGCAGGGGCGCTGCGCGGCATCGTGGCGCAGCGACGTGCCTCTGGTCCTCCACCTGCGGGTGGCCTCGGAGGGCCTGGACGATTCACCAAAGCTGTACGCGGCGGGCCTGGCGGCGCTGGACCGCGCGCGGGAGCTCCTGCAGCCCCGCTCCGCGGCCATGAACGGCGGCGCCCGGCGGCAAGCTGCGCCTGCAGGGGGCGCTCCTGCGAACGCTCCACACCAGCGTGTTCACCAACGACCTGGCCTCGACGATGACCAGGCGGATGAGGCGCCGGCATCCCTCGGTGGAGACCCCCGAGGCGCTCGACTGGGAGGCGCTGGCCGGCGACCTCCGACGCTTGCCGCAAGCGTGGCGGATGGCATTACTGCGGACGCGGGCCGGGGCCTGACCGACGGCGGCGCGACTCCAGTCGCGCGACGAACCGTGCATCTTCGGCTGCCCGGCGGGGGCCGACTCCATGGTGCACTATGACGAGCGCCCGCGCCTCCGCGGCGCCGCAGAGAGAGCGCTGGGCCACGCGCTCGCCCCGGCTGCGCACGAGCGCCTGGCTCTAGACACTGGGGCCACGGAGCCCGAAAAAATGAGAGAGGGCCCGCGACGTCGCGCTGATATGCCATCTCCACCGAGTGGTCTCCCATTGCCACTCGTCCTCTCCCCCCTCACCTCAGACTTTAACCGATGCTGGTTTTGCCGCGCGCCAAGCCACGGATCGGGCAATTGGCCGGTTCCGCCGGCCTCGATAGTTGCAGCAGACCTTTGCGAGAACAGTGGCACATACAACTACACACATGTGTATTTATGTATGTATACACGTGAGTATACATATATCGGAGTAGGCCTCGGGCGGGCCCGGGACCACGACCACGGGTACACATGGGCGGTGCAGCGCTCCAGGAGCGCCCTCGTGGTTCCCAAAGTGGCCTCGTGGTCGCACAGAGGGCCTACACATTGATACGACAGTCTACGCTACCACGCCGGGTCTATCACACCCCGAGAGCACCGAATATGCTTTCTGAGCGGCATCCGAAAGCTTCAGGCTGCGTCATGGCGGCCCCGTGCAAGCTTCAGTGGGCGCTCGAGGCCCCAGATGAGTACCCCGAGAGGCAAGAATCGTTGATGTTGCGAGGGTTTTTCGATGTTTTCGGTGCCCTCTCTTTGTCGACATTCTGACACTTCCACGACGGCCCACGATGCCTCCGACCCCGCCTCAGGACGGGCCCAGCGGCCCTCAGGAAGGCCCCGGGACAGCCTCGCAGGATTCCATGACGCCCCCAAGGGGCGCTCAAGACGGCCCCAAGATGGCCTGTAGATGGGGGTCATGAAGCAAAAGTTCGAGTCTCGCTTCATGAAGCTCCCCGGAGGCCTCCGGAAGGCGCCAGAAAGGCCCTGGGCAGGCTCCAGAGAGCGCGTCAGAGGTCCCAGCCGAGTGCCCCTACGTGTCGACGGAGAAAAAAATGCATACATGGAGACTTGTGGGGCAGCGGTCCAGCGCGGATCCAATAAACCTGGCGGACCTCCAAAATGTTTGGTTTATGCAGTTTATTCTCTCTTTTTCTACCATCGATTGCCTTGTAGGCCCCCGTCCCCCCGCCGCATTGGGAGCAGGAAGCGCACCACCACCACCACCGCCTGGGAGGATTCGGGCCGCGCTGGTGTGCGGGATGCGGGGGTGCACGACGTCCTGCAAGGGCGCCCGACACGATATACATGCCTCTACCACCCACTGCTTCCACCCGCGACCCACCCGCGACCTACCCGCATTGGTTTAACTAAAAAATCGGCGCCTGCGGCGGACTCGTTGTATACTTTGTGGAACTTTGGCGCCTGCGGCGGGCTCCTCCAGAATCTCGCAAACTGCCGACATCCCCACCGCCCCCTCACCCTGATCCGCATCTGCGGGGAGCTACGTGGGTACATGCCTCCACCACCCCTGACCGCTTACTGCCTCCACATCCTCCAGGTGGTGGTGGTGGTGGTGCGCTTCCTCCTCCCTGCCGCAGGCCCACGCGCGCGGAGCCGCACTCGAGGCCCAGCAGCGGCTCCTCGAGGAGACCGCCCAGAGCCTCCGGGACAGGCGCGAGGCGCTGTTGCCCCGCCGCTGCGCGACGCGCGCCCGCCGCCGTCTCAAAGCGCCGCCGCCGCGGGCGCGCCGCAGCGCGCCGCGGCGGGGCGTGCCTCGACTCCTCCGATTCGACTCGATTCGGGAGGGGAGAAGACACACTGACACAGTTGATCGTCGACCTCCAGGAGAACATTGGAAAATATTGGAAATGTGGGGGGGGGGAAGACGAACATCCAGAAAATAACATCCGCCGCTCTGCGGTTGATCGGGAGTTTCTGTATATATAGAAGAAGGGGCGCGCGCTTCTGGGCGAGAGGGAAACGACCGAGAGAAGAAGGGGCGGCCGCCCCACAGGACCTCTCCATGGTGCCGGAAGCCCATCAGGGCTCCCTCAGGGCCCCTCCCCCAGGGCCGGGGCTCCCTCGCCTGCCCCCTCCCCCTCCTCCTCCTCCTCCTCCTCCTCCTCCTCCTCCTCCTCCTCCTCCTCCTCCTCCTCCTCCTCCTCCTCCTCCTCCTCCTCCCCTCCTCCTCCTCCTCCTCCTCCTCCTCCTCCTCCTCCTTCGCCCCCGTCGGCATATCCAGGCGTGTTATGCAGTCAGGTCGTCCGTCCGGAAACGGTGCCGGAGGCCGCTCTGGGCTCCTCTGGGCATCCCCCCCGGGGCCCGTTTTGTGAGGATGTCTCAGGCGAGGGCGCCGGTTTGGGATTCGTCACCGGATCCAGCGGATCCAGCGGATCCGTCCGGAAACGGTGCCGGAGGCCGCTCTGGGCTCCTCTGGGCATCCCCCCCGGGGCCCGTTTTGTGAGGATGTCTCAGGCGAGGGCGCCGGTTTGGGATTCGTCACCGGATCCAGCGGATCCAGCGGATCCGTCCGGAAACGGTGCCGGAGGCCGCTCTGGGCTCCTCTGGGCATCCCCCCCGGGGCCCGTTTTGTGAGGATGTCTCAGGCGAGGGCGCCGGTTTGGGATTCGTCACCGGATCCAGCGGATCCAGCGGATCCGTCCGGAAACGGTGCCGGAGGCCGCTCTGGGCTCCTCTGGGCATCCCCCCCGGGGCCCGTTTTGTGAGGATGTCTCAGGCGAGGGCGCCGGTTTGGGATTCGTCACCGGATCCAGCGGATCCAGCGGATCCGTCCGGAAACGGTGCCGGAGGCCGCTCTGGGCTCCTCTGGGCATCCCCCCCCCGTTTTGTGAGGATGTCTCAGGCGAGGGCGCCGGTTTGGGATTCGTCAGGATCCAGCGGATCCAGCGGATCCGTCCGGAAACGGTGCCAGAGGCCGCTCTGGGCTCCTCTGGGCATCCCCCCCGGGGCCCGTTTTGTGAGGATGTCTCAGGCGAGGGCGCTGGTTTGGGATTCGTCACCGGATCCAGCGGATCCAGCGGATCCGTCCGGAAACGGTGCCGGAGGCCGCTCTGGGCTCGTGCTCTTCGCGCCGGGGGTGAGGATGACGTGAGTTCCACAGAAACTCCCTCAAATTAGAAAATACGAGGGATCTTGGGATTTGTGTCTCCTTATGTGTGTAATTATATGTCCCAGGGCCCTTCTAGCGATCTCGATGGCTTCCGATTCCGATTTGTCTTCGAATCTCGATCGCCGATCCGACGGATCGATATGATCCTGGGCTCTCCAGCTCAGGAGCAGCGTCAGGGGATGATGGGCCCCAAGGCTCGGGGATGGCGGGTTGTGGGGGGATGCTGCTGGCTACTGGGCCCCACTGGGGGCGGGGGCTCCGGCGGCCACGCTCTGGGATCCGCCCCCGCTGTGGGCGCGGTCCCGCTGTGGGTGCTCGGCGAGCGGCCCCGCTCGGAGCCTCGTCGTCGAGGGGGGGCGGGGCGAAGGCCTCGCCGGTTCCAGGTCCGAGGATCGGGGTGCGCGCCCCGGAGGCCTTCGATCGTGCTCGGGGGCGCCGCCGTGGCCACGGCGGGCTCCGCCCCGTCGACCGACCGAAGACTTCTCGGAGGTCTCCGCTGGCTCTCGGCGGTTGCTCGGCCTCGGGGTGCTCGCCCAGCAGCTGCGCCTCGTCGAGGACGTTCCCCACGGGGGGGCCCAGGCGGTGCCGAACGGCCGCTGGAGGCCCGAGTTCTCGGCCGAAGAAGCACTAGGGGTGGGGATGGGCTCAGGAGGGAGGGCGCGTCGACTCCCAATCTCTAGGCCTCCCAGATGGGGTCGGAGTAGACGGGGTCGGCGGATCGCGCCGCATCGCCGAGGCATCGGCGATGCGGCTCGACGCGGAGCCCGACTTCTCTTCACGTCGACGTCACCGATGCATCGGCGACGTCGACGATGCATCGCCGGTGCATCGCCGATGCATCGCCGATGCATTGCCGATGCATCGGCGATGCGGCGCGATCCTCCGACCCCATCTGCTATCCAGGAGGCCTGTACAATCGCCCATGTATCGCCGAGAAGGGCCCGATTGCCCACCCCCGCCCATCGGCCTTCTGCAAAGATGTCTGGACCGCCCCTGAAGACACCGAAAACTTCTCAGAAGGCGCGAGGGCTTCTGAGAAGTCCCGCCGTCTTCTGACAAGGCCTTCTCCTTCTCACTTCCCCCCTCGCCATCCGCCGAGCATAGGTTTAGGGCGGGATGCATCGACCCCATGTCGCCCATTCGTCGCCGAGAAGGGCCAGACAGCCCCCCCCGCCCAGGAGCGTGCGGATTCGTCATTGGGGCCCCTAGTACCGATCCATCGACGACGTATCGCCGATTCCTGGTCGGCGTTACCATCTCCTGAGCCAGTCTTCCCGTTTCCCCCCTTACGGTTAGGTCGGGCATGTCCCCCTACAGGCGGATTTTGGACGAAAAATTGAAAATTGTCAAGCAATAGTCAAGCATAGCCAACAAATATTCAAAAACTAGTCCCCATAGTATGTTTAACATTTTTGCTTGAATACTCCTCCTGTAGAGGGACGTGCCCGACTTAACTTGACCGTTGCCCCTCAGCGCCGCGCCGCCGCCGCCTCGGCCGAGTCGGCCGCCGCGCACAGGCACCGAGACCGCCCAGAGCCCAGGCCCCCGAGGATGTCTGCACTGGAGGAAGAGACCGCGATGCCGCTGTTCGTCCTGGAGGGCCCTCGTCGCCACGCATGGATTATGCTCGGGATTTTGGCCACGATGCGCCCCAGGATTAGGATGTTCCAAACTACTTCAGCCTGGATCACCTGAAAGAATTTCGAGCTCCAAAAAAAACGAAACTCGAGGGTTTTCACGTGTCGCGCCCTGGGGGACACTCGTTCGAGATTGTTTCGACACTGTTTCGACACTTTTCCGGGTGCTCGAGATGTGGTCCTAAGTACGATGGTAACAACAGAAGATTTGGCACGATGCTTTGGCGGCCGACCCGTTTCTGATCGGACTTGGCGGCGCCCGGCCGCCGCGGGCCCCCAGCAGGCCCCCCCCCCCAAGCCCAGGGGCGGAAGCGGAGGGCGCGCGCGCGCCGCTCAGGCCGACGTGGCACGCCTACATGATCTGGGGGAGCGGGTCTGCCCGCTTGGGTGGTTCAAAGATGTTGGGCCTGTTTTCCACCACCACCGCCATGAGTTGGAGGGGGGACGGAGGTGGAGGAGAGGGAGGGAGACGAGGAGGAGGAGGAGGAGGAGGAGGAGGAGGAGGACCCCCTCCCCGTCCTACGTACGGTGGTGGTGGTGGTGGTGGTGGGAAACAGGCCGTCCAAAAGATGGAGTCCTGAGGGATGGGGGCGCACGGATAGGAAGGGGTCCGAGGGCTGACCTACTTTGTTTGAGGCACCTCGCCCCTAGGGCCCCATATCCTCAGGGCCCCATCTTCGAACCACCGACCGCTGCCGTCGCCGCCACCGTCGCCTCCGCCGTCGCCGTCGCCGTCGTGGTCGTCGTGCTCGTGGTCTCCCCGCTGCCGTCGCCCTGGGTATTGACGACATGTGTTTGCTCAATCCTGTCGTTGCTCCTCGATGTTGGCCCTCGGGGGGGGGGGGGGGTCGGGCCCCCGGGCCGTAAAGCTTTGACCCTGGGGCCAAAAAGACTGGTGCATGGCAGGGGTCGGGACCTCCTGGGGCCGCGGACGGTGAACAAAAGCTATCGGCGGACGTCCGGGGTCGCCGCCGCCGTGTGTTTGTGGCCATGGCCGCCGTGGCCGTCCCCCCCCCCCTCTCTTTGCCCGCCGGCCAATTCGCTAGTTAGTGCCCCTTTCTTGCTTCTCGCTGGAGCGGAGTTCGCCACCTCGCCGGTGACGAAAAAAGTGTTTGTGGCCGTGGCCGTCGTGGTCGTCGTGGTCGCGGTGCCCACATCGGAGGGCCGTCGCGCACGGCACAGACGGACACCTGCAGATGTCAGAGGACGAGTGGTTCCGACGCCGCCACCTGCCCCCCAGACGCCGAGCTGGAGACCCTAACCCGAGGTAGGCTGCGAGGAAGCAGCTTCGGGAAGCAGAACCCAGGGCGAGCGGCAGACCACGACGATTCCGAGCATTCAGTGCGAAAGTCGCCGTTATCTCACGGCACGCGCCACACGAAGGAGACAGCCGCGATCCCGCGCCGAACCACGGGAATACGTCGTCGTCCTGAGTGTGAGAGAGAGAGAGAGAGAGAGAGAGAGAGGAGCCAGGGCTCGGATCGAGCGCCGAGAATGAAAGCTCCAGGATGGGGGGGGTTGCCGAGGGATGCTGCTGAGTGCTGGGCCCCCTGAGGGGCGGGAGGTCTTGCGGCCACGATTTGGGGCTCGCCTCGACTATTGTTGCTGTTGAATTTTCATTCTGGAAGGACAAGTGGCACGCTGGCCCTGGCTCTTGCACCAAGGAGCTGCGAGGGGCAGGAAGCGTTCGCCTCCTTCCTCCAGGAGTTTTCTTCCGTGGCCTTGGGGGGGACGAACCAACGAACGAACGACGACGAACGAAAATTATCCCAGTGCGACCCTACCTAGGAGTTGGAGCCCCTAGGAAAGCAGCATTAGTAGTAACAGTAAAGCTAAGCTAAAGCTAAGCTACAGCTAAGCTAAAGCTAAGCTAAAGCTAAGCTAAAACTAAGCTAAAGCTAAGCTAAAGCTAAGCTCAAGCTAAGCTCAAGCTACGCTCAAGCTAAGCTAAAGCTAAGCGAAAGCTAAGCTAAAGCTAAGCTACAGCTAAGCTAAAGCTAAAGCTAAGCTAAAGCTAAGCTAACGCTAAGCTGAAGCTAAGCTCAAGCTAAGCTCAATATAAGCTCAAGCTAAGCTAAAGCAAGCTAAAGCTAAGCTAAAGCTAAGCTAAAGCTAAGCTAAATCTAAGCTAAATCTAAGCTAAAGCTAAGCTAAAGTTAAAGCTAAGCTAAAGCTAAGCTGAAGCTAAGCTAACGTTAAGCTAAAGCTAAGATAAAGCTAAGCTAAAATTAAAGCTAAGCTAAAGCTAAGCTGAAGCTAAGCTAACGTTAAGCTAAAGCTAAGCTAAAGCTAAGCTAAAGCTAAAGCTAAAGCTCCCAGGGGACTGGGGGAACCGCGGGGCGGGGACTGGGGGAACCGCCCGGGGCGCTTTCCATTGCCCGGCCCCTTTGAGCTAACAGAGTAAGAACCTTTCTAGGCAGAGCCTAGGTAGGGAATAAAGAGGTCCTAGCTCTAGAACACAGCTGTGCAAGATAATCATCATTTGTGATGCCCCCTTCGGGGCCCGCACCCGGTTTTTCAATCCGGGACAAAATCCTGCTCAAATTGTGCAGTTGGCACCCCGGCTCCAGCAGCCACTGTTCCAGCCTGATACTTCCTCATAATGTATTCGGGGTGGCCGCACGGTTGTTCGAGATTTCGGTCGTTCTCGGAGGATGCTTCGGGCAGCGGGATGCTTCGGGCAGCGCTGGGAGCCTCCGAGGTCCAAAGCCGTGCTGCGAGGTCTTCGGGGATGTCGACGTCACTGCTCGGGGGAATGAACAGCAAGGGCAGACCAACGGGAACGGTATATTATAGCAGATATCCGTTGGAGCGAACCAATCTAGTTTCCCCTCGCCATTGTCGGGGAAACGTGAGACTCGAATTCATACCTTCTCATGGCCTGACTTACTCAACACACAACATGCAGGCCTACTCATACTCAGACTTACTCATGCTGGGACTCCTCCATACCCAGACTTACTCATACCCAGACTCGTTCCCAGACCTGCTCATACGCAGACTTACTCATACTCAGACCTACACAGATTCAGACCTTCTCATAGTCTGAGTTGTTCAACGCACGGACTGAGACCTATTCATATTCAGACCCATAACCAGACTCGCAAGGGGAGCCGCCAGGGGTGTTTCCACGGGCCCGTTCGCGGCCAGTTTGTGGGGATGCCTCAGGCGGGTTGTTTGTTGTCATGCCCAACGTCCTTGGCTTTCAGAGCCGTCTCAGGCGGGGCGCTGGTTTCAGCACCCCTAAGGGGAGCCGCCAGGGGACGGGCCCGTTCGCGGCCAGTTTGTGGGGATGTCTCAGGCGGTTTGTTCGTTCTCATGCCCAATGTCCTTGGCTTTCAGAACAGATTTCGAGGATGTCTCAGGCAGGGCACTGGCTTCAGCACCCCTAATGGGAGCCTCCATGGGTGTTTTCACGGGCCCGTTCGCGGCCAGTTTGTGGGGATGGCGGTTTGATCGTTTTCATGCCCAACATCTTTGGCTTTCAGATCAGATTTTGAGGATGTCTCATGCGGGGCGCTGGTTTTCAAAACCCCGAAGGGGAGCCGCCAGGGGTGTTTTCACGGGCCCGTTCGTTGCCAGTTTGTGGGGATACCTCAGGCGGTTTGTTCGTTGTCATGCCCAACGTCCTTGGCTTTCAGAGCCGTCTCGGGCGGGGGCGCTGGTTTCAGCACCCCTAAGGCGAGCCGCCAGGGGTGTTTTCACGGGCCCGTTCGCGGCCAGTTTGTGGGGATGCCTCAAGCGGTTTGCTCGTTTTCATGCCCACCATCCTTTGCTTCCGGAGCAGATTTTGAGGATCCTCAGGCGGGGCGCTGGTTTCAACACCCCTACGGAGAGCCGCCAAGGGGTGGGACACGGGTCCGTTCGCGGCCAGTTTGTGGGGATGTCTCAGGCAGGGCGCTCGTTTTCATGCCCAACATCCTTGACTTTCAGATCAGATATTGAGGATGTCTCATGCGGGGCGCTGGTTTTCAAAACCCCGAAGGGGAGCCGCCAGGGGTGTTTTCACGGGCCCGTTCGCGGCCAGTTTGTGGGGATGCTTCAAGCGGTTTGTTTGTTCTCATGCCCAATATCCTTGGCTTTCAGAGCCGTCTCAGGCGGGGCGCTGGTTTTCAAAACCCCGAAGGGGAGCCGCCAGGGGTGTTTTCACGGGCCCGTTCGCGGCCAGTTTGTGGGGATGCCTCAGGCGGTTTGTTCGTTCTCATGCCCAAGATCCTTGGCTTTCAGAGCCGTCTCAGGCGGGGCGCTGGTTTCAGCACCCCTAAGGGGAGCCGCCAGGGGTGTTTTCACGGGCCCGTTCGCGGCCAGTTTGTGGGGATGCCTCAGGCGGTCTGTTCGTTCTCATGCCCAAGATCCTTGGTTTTCAGAGCCGTCTCAGGCGGGGCGCTGGTTTCAGCACCCCTAAGGGGAGCCGCCAGGGGTGTTTTCACGGGCCCGTTCGCGGCCAGTTTGTGGGGATGCCTCAAGCGGTTTGCTCGTTTTCATGCCCACCATTTTGGGCTTTCAGATCAGATTTTGAGCATGTCTCAGGCGGGGCGCTGGTTTCAACACCCCTACGGGGAGCCGCCAGGGGGTGGGACACGTGCCCGTTCGCGGCCAGTTCGTGGGGATGCCTCAGGCGGTTTGCTCGTTTTCATGCTGCGAGGAAGGACATGGGTATGTGTGGCTAAACGCTCGCTCTACAGATCCCACTGCCAACTATCTTAAAACATACGCACGTTACCACAGGCTGAGGAGGGCACGGCCTGGAAGTTGAGGAGGGGGAACGAATGGGAGGCTCAAAATCAATCATATTCGAAGCTCACTCTGACTCATACTCACTCACTCGCATTCGGATTCGCTCGTCTTCGTCAGCCCTGTCGCCCACGTGGACGCGCTATTATAGTCAAGCGCTAATGGACAGACGCTCATTATGGCGTGGCATAAAACATGAGATGCACATATGGGGAGCTCCACGCAATGAGAAATTTGGTCAAGCGCGTCCTGGATTTTGACGGTCCCGTTATCGTGGGATGTCTGCAGCGGGAGCCCGCGCCAAATTTCAGATTGGGCCTCGTCAGTTTTTATGATGGGCCCCCGTCGGGCCAACCCGATCCCGCCGTACCCGAGTCGTACGCCGTCTTCCCGAATAGTATGGCAGACACAGGTTGGAGCGAACCAATCCGGCTTCCCCTCGCAATTGGGGGGAAACGGATCCTGAGGGAAACGGTCCCGAGGTTTTTCGCAGGTCTCAGGCTTTTGGGGCCGTCCACGAGCCCACGGTCAGCAAACGACTCAGGGTGGGAGATCCGTCCCGGGGGAAGGCACCAGGGTCCAAGACCCCGTTCCCTCAGGACCCGTCTTCCCAGTGCTGGCTCCCCGCGAAGCTAGATCTCG